ATAAATATAGGTGAGATGATATCTAGATGAGATAGCAGATAGATAAATATGATAAATTGTGGGGGGGGGGGAGAAAGGGAAAGAGAGAGAGAGAGAGAGAGAGATCATAGATAGAGGTGGATGAGATAAGGGAGGGAGAGGGAGAGAAACAGAGACTCCTGTTAAACTAGAGCAAACTTACCAGCGATGAACAGAATGGACTTCATGGCTGAGGAGGTTCCAGGTAGACTGAGCACAGCAAACTACCTGTTACCTTTTAATCCTCTCTCAAGTCTCCCTTTAAACACGAGGAATCATTTCAGTACCAAGCTCCGTCGGACAGCGCTCCGCTCGCAGCAAACGCTTGCGGTTGATCCAATCAGAGTCGGCGGGACACCCGCCCGCTTTCCCACCTCCCGGCTCTGCGTTTGCTGGAGAGAGAGTACAGCCTCTCTCTCTTTCACACCTGTCGGAGAGGTCCAAGCGACGAAAAAGCCAACCGCTGATCAAATATGCTTGCTGAATAACGATCTACTCTTTCATTAAAGCCAGGAAAATAGCCAATTCGCCTTTGGCTTGATTCCTGAATTTCCTTCTGTGCTTGAATTTCATTATAATTCATCAGCCCATGTTCACTTGACATATGAACACATTACATGCAGTTAAATAAAACTGAAGCCAATTTTTTGGGTTCAAACAGCACACTGATCCATAAGCTAATCACCTGAATTGGGCTTGCACATCATGCTAAGCCAAAATTGTGGTCCAGCTGATTGGTCCTGAAGAAAAACTACTGATTATTAAAAGAGAAGTAGATCTTCTCTAGGCTGAAAGCAGGCAAAAGTCCAAGGGCATAATTTATTACTGAAACATGTGAAATCTGCTGCATTGTGTACTGTGCTGCCAGGCTGATAACCATAGAGGGAAAACAATATGTACATGTGGGAGGAAAGGCACATATAAGCATCATTCTACAACAGCAGAGGAGCAACAGTTCTCTAGGTTTGATTAGTCAATGATTCTCATAATTCTAAATCAACAGGAAAAGTTCAAGGGCATTGAATGTTGGTCCAAAATCTGGAGAAGGTGAGCTGGGAAGGACATAGATACTTATAAAGCTGTAGGGAATGTGAAATATGGAGGAAAACAAGTCATTCAAATTCAGTTCTGTGCAATAGAATTTTAGTGCAGGAATTCTGGAAAGAACAAAAAAAGGTTTTATTGAATTGTTATTATATAAATCAAGTGGAAGTGAAAGAAATGAAGCTTGGGCAGCAGGTCAAAACAGTTCCATATACTGTACTTATTAGAATTGCTACTGTCTGGGAACGTGTGAGATAGATATCGCTTATTGCTAGGAAAAATATAAAAATGAAAATATGTTTAATCTACTAGTGTCAAGGTCTTTGAAGGTGATATTTGAAGATCTGTTGTGTTAATGATATATGTTTTCTCTCTCTCTCTCTTTCTCCCTCCCTCCCTGTCTCTCTCTCTCTCTCCAATGTCCTAAAGGTGTCTTTTCGAGAGGCAACTGGACTAGCTAGCTTCTTGGATGAGAAGTGAAACATCTTCAAGGAAAAATAGAAAGTCCAGTTGATTCTTGAAAAGGCACCTTTGAGACAACTATGACCTAGATGACTGAAAATCTCCATAGACATCTATCATCTATCTCTATCATCTATCTATTATCTATCTTATCTATCTATCTATCTATCTATCTATCTATCATCTATCTATCTATCTTTCATCTATCTTTCATCTATCATCTATCTATCTATCTATCTATCTATCATCTATCTATATCATCATCTCTATATCTATTGCAATCTATTTGTATTCTATCTATCTCTATCTATCTATCTAACATCTATGTATCTACCATCTATCTATCTATATCTGTTTCCTTCCCTCCCTCCCTCCCTCTCTCATTCCCTCCCTCTCTGTCTCTCCCTCTCTTTTCCTTCCTAAAAGCTTTAGGTTCTCTGATTTTATGTTTATCAAAAATTTAAAAAAGAAATATTAATATACAGCATTAGGCAATTAGAGTAATTATTTATTTAGACAGCATTCCGAGCAAATAGAAGCTAAAGCATACAAGGTATCAGGACTGGGTATTAATTTCCAATTGCAATTTAAAGAGGCATTTCTGACCTTTCAGATGTCTGGGCCAGGATGCCAAAATGCTGTTGGTCCTTCTGCTCTGAGTGAGCCCCTTTCCAAAGTAAGGTGAATGACTCTTACAAGTAGCATTTTCTTTGCTTATTATTTCCAGCATATTCATCCGTTTGGATTACACAAGCCACCATACATGAAGAATAAGTTCACCATTAACCAACAGGACATCCTTAAAATTTGGTATAAAATGAGAAAGGAAGAAATGACCTGACCTTTTTTAATTGTTTACATTGTAAGCAAAAGTTTGAAAGAAAGATAAGGGATTTAGGTCTTAATCTGCTTGTCTGTCAGTTTAACTCTCTGAGAACAGAGTGGAATGGGATCCAACTTGCTGGGGCATAAGAAATGTCAAAGAATAGGATAGCAAAAGAACTTACATGCACACACAAAATACATTCATTACACAGGGAAAATACAGACTCTTCCTATGGCCACTGATAAAAGCATTAAAAAAAATCACACTACATGTTTCCTCTACCATTTCTTTGTATTATTTCATAATAATTTCCTTGGTCAATTCCTTCTGATTATTGGTAATTTAAATCTTACAAGGAAACATTTTTTGGGTAGGAACCAAGCCCATCAGCAGATCATACCAATGAAAATGAGTGCATATGTGTCTCCCAACCACCATTTCTTACAGTTGAATAGTATATGCTAGGAAAAAAATCACATACATTTCCAAACAAAGTTCTGTTTTCTTTCCTTTTCTTTTTAAATCATCCAATTTTGTATATTAGACTATTTTATCTTTGTTATAATTTGTTATTTCACTTTGCAGTTTTCAAAGTTTTTGGTCCCTGGATTCACAGATTGATTGACAATGATTCATCACAGAAAGTAGCCATTTTTCAGCTCCCAATAAATCCAGGGCCATTTGTGGGCAGTGAGACTATACCGGTCAAGGCAACATGTTCTGAGAGCTTTGCAGCATGATCAAAATTGCTGGTCTGGGTAGTCAGGGACTTCCGACTGTCCATGCTTCTTCTTCCTCTGGATGGGGCGTTTTGGTGATGGCCAAGACCAAAGCAGCAGCAAGAAAAAGCAGCTTTAAATTCTTCCCGAAATTTTCCTGTCGAATCAAAGACCAAGACCATCATGAAGAAGCAGCCAGACCATGTCCTCCCAAATAGGGCATGCATAACACAATTGCTACATTTGTTTCTTTTCCATTCAAAGTGTCTGCTGTGATTTGCATAATCCAGAGAAGGCAACTAGATGGCAGCTTTGCAGTGGGGGATGTAATGGTATATATGGGAATGGCCTTGGGAGACAGGGTAGGGAAGAAGAGATGCTGCCTAAGGAATGGTCAGATAAGAGGAAGCATAGCCCAAAGCTGCATAATGGGTGAAGAGGTTCAGAAGGGACTCCTTCCTGGGTTATCAGGCTGTAAAGGAGATGGTGGGAGATCTGTATTTTTCAGGCTTGCAAGATTCTGTTAATGTAGCCTGACAATAATTAGCTAATCCGGTCATGTTTCCTGTCGGTCTACCTGGGAAGGCTGACAGCTTTTCTAAGATGATTTATGTATGCAATTGTTATTCTGATTTTGAATTCCTGTGTGCAGAATTGGTGAAGCATGTAGCAAAATCATCTTTTAAAACTGAGATTAGAGCTTGAACATCTGTGCTGTCTTAAAGGTGCAAAGAATAGGATAGGATAAGGTAGGATAGGATAGAAGCAAAGCAAAGCAAAGCAAAGCAAAGCAAAGCAAAGCAAAGCAAAGCAAAGCAAAGCAAAGCAAACAGCAGGAAAAATCATCCTTTCAGCCTGTTATAAGCATCCTGGGCAAAAGTTTTCAACTTTTAATCATTCTTGGTATGCAGTGGGTGGTACAGAAGCCTTTATTACCAGATTGCATTTATTTTCCTATTTTTCTCCAGAGCAGAGTGTGGTTTTTGTGAATATATCCCCAAAATGATCTAGATTGATCTGAGTGAGAGAAAGACTAAGTGTTTTTTTTTCCGGTGAGACCGGTCTATCAGGGCAACTTGGTTTACCCAATTATGGGATGGAGCATACTGCTTCCGCTTTCACCTTTCAGTCCCAATCCAGGAGCCTTCTCAGGCAGTTGCTTTCACGACAAAACTATTTTTGTGTTGACTGGCTAGCTGATGAGAGCTAAATAGCTTGAAATAGATCTATACTAGTCTCCCTTTATTTCTTTGTCAGTAAATATAAACTGCACATGAGAGAAAGACTGTTTTTTTAAATTAAAAAAATCACCCCACGAGCTCTGTGATTGTGTGAGGATTCAAACCAGAGTCTCCGCGGTTTAAATCCAGGACTACTGGGCTCTTTTAGCACAAGGGATTGCAGGAGGTGAGGGAATGTTTTGCAGAGGAAGATATTGGTGAAGGCCAATTCCTTCTTTTTAGCCCAAGCACCAAGAAATTCAAAGAGATATATTAAAAAGTTCTTGAACTTGATCATTAGTTAAGAAGTTAATGAGGAATGAAATCACTATCACCTATATATCAAGGAGAACACACCTCATATTATATTTTTTATTGTTTTAATTGTTCAGTATTTTCAGAATTCTAAGCTGCCCGGCCACTGATTTAGATGGACAGCTATAGAAATCAAATCAAATCAAATCAATCAATAACATTAGGCAGATCTTCTGTTGTGTTGAAATTTGTCCATTGTTTCCTTTTCTTTATGCCTGTAACTAATGGAAAAGTGACCTAAAAGTAAAAATCTGTTTTATATTGAAATGAAATGTATATATAACATAAATGTACTTATATTAAACAATGTGTACTCAAATTCTAGATCTGTTTATTGGAATGCTTGAATGATGCATTTTCTTTAAGTCTCTGTTTCCACCCTCTATACAACAGTAGTAAAAGTATCTTTCTCTTTTAGAATACCATGAATACAGCAAAGTAAATACATTGCATTAACTCTTCAGCTCTCTTGTTTTTTTTAACATGATAAAAATGCATAAGTAATCAACTTACCACTAAGAAAGTTGTAAATAATTGGGTTGGCTGCACTATTTGCGTATACAAGCCAGTGGGAGAAAGTAAACCAAGCATACACTGTTTCTCGATCTTCAGCATTGTTAAACATCCCAAAAACTCTTACAAAAAGAAGGAAAAAAATGTTAGAAGTAGAAAACGTATCATATTTCTGATATTGATAAACACATAAAATAGTTGCATGGTATACAGATCAAAATTCTGAATTCCAAATGAGTGCAGTGGTGTCGTAACTATAGCAACGTGAAGTTGCAAAGGGTGTTCTCCGTATGTATTACCTCTTATATACAATTGCCATGTTGCTTGGATGTCCCTTGACACAACTAAGGTCCACACACACCAAGAACTAGATGCATTTTTATTTATTTATATAATTGATCTAGTTGCCTGTCTCTCCAAACAAGCTGATATAACACAGCTAACATAATCAATAAATACCCAAATGCATTGTCATCCTTAATCATTACAAACATTCAAAATTATGAAAAACGCTATAAGAGCAACTCATGAACAAAGAAGTAGCAGATAAAGGGATGTTGTCAATAACAGTACCACTTCACTAGTTTTACTCATGCTCATCTTAGTTGAATGAAGAATTGTATACATGTCTGAATTCTCCAACAGAGGTAAATGTATAGATTCTAGGGCAGGGGCGTCAAATTGGCGGCCCATGGGCCGAATGCATTACACGCAGGAAACATCCATCCCAGCTCCATGAAGGCAAAAAAATGTCACGATGTGTCATGCGACATCAAGGTAACACAGTGCATTTGACCTGTGTTCTAGATAAATGCTATAATAATCAGTTTCTAAATATACAGTAATGACTGGATTTATGCTGCCCACTGACTCCTAACTGGTGTTTTTATGAATATCTAAGTGGGGACAACTCATACCTTTTCTCATAATTGTTAAGACTATGTCTCTCCCAAGCAAGCCTGACCTTTTAAATTATATACAGAAGGCCCTTTTCCAGGGTTCTCTGCCACAAGAGGTATGAATTTATCTACAAAAAAAGAGGATTTATTGCAGAAATCAGTGAATGCCGCTAAGAAAGGTTCCTCTGGGCTGAGAATTATTTCAGCATCGCTGATACGGTTCTGTTTCATAACAATAAGTAATATAATGTACAACGTATTGCCAGATTGTGTACATTCCAAATCTACAAATGAGACGGGACAGCCATTTGTCTGGAATGGGCAGGGAGGTTGGACTAGATGGCTTCCAAGGTCCCTTCCAACATTATTCTATGTTCTAAACCAGAAACATTTTTTTTTCATCAGTGCATCCCATTATAAAGTCAGCATCCCATTCAGTAGAGATGTGGCATTCAATATGCATACTTTTCTAACCCACAATTTGATTTGATTTCTTTTGACAATGTTGAGTCATGAATTGAGGTCACCGAACTTGATGAAACATTAAGTGCATGAACTGCAAACAGTAACATTTCCTGGGAAGGATGAGCATTAACTCTGCAATCTTAATCCGAACCATAATCTGAAAAGAACGGAAAGGCTTAAGAATGCCAACGTTCTCCAATTTAGAGCCTCCCAACTCCCAAACCCTTTCTACCCAGACTGCTGACAGGAGATGAAGGAAAATGAATTCTGACGTATCTGGAGGAATATAAGAAAAAATGATTTTCATTCCTTGTTGGCCTTGATGTCTGTATCTACTGGCCAACTTCTGCTGACCAGCTCTGACCAAGGGGAAACTTCCTCAGGAATAGTGTTGATAATTTTCAGCAGTATGGGGTCTTCTTGCTTATGTTGTTCTCAGAGTTTGGCTCCTCACTGGAACAATATGATTTCCCCCTCTTGTATAGCAATACTTTCTAGTGCCCCATGTTTCTTCAGCTGAGTCTGTAGGCTGGTGGGCCCTCTAGCGTCAGCAAGTGTCTCCTGCAGCCTTTTGACTGCTCTTTCCTGCATTGCTTCCAATGTTACCTCTTTCAGGACATGTTGATAACATTCAGAAGCACATTTTTTATTATTAACATATTTTAAACTTTAAAACCAGCCTATTAATGAAAAAGCATAGGGGGAGGGAGGAGGACAAATAATCTTGAAACGACCTGTAATGAACCTTATATGAAAATAAATCCTATTAGCACCCATGAAAATTTCATCCTACCCCAATTGCTTGTGTTGGGGAAAAAAGATACAGATAGTCTTCAACTTACATACATTTGTTGAATGACCATTCAAAATTATAATGGTGCAAAAAATAGTGACCGTTTCTGGTTCTTGCACTTACAACCAGCAGAGTGTCTCCACAATCACACAATCACAATTGAGCTCTTAGCAACTGGCATGCATTTATGATGGTTTTAGCATCCTGGCATCCCTGGATCTCCATTTTGTGTCCTTCCCAGCTTCTGACAAGCAAAGTCAGTGGGAGATAAGACAGATTTGTTTAACGGCTGCATGATTTGCTTAAGGATTACATCATTTGCTTAACAACAGCAGCAAGGTGTGTTGAATATGTTGGCCATTTTGAATTATTTGTATAAATAAGGACTGGATGAAAAAAAAAAAATTCCAGAGAAAAAATTGCAGGCTACAGGAACCAGGAGCACTACTCAGATGACCCTGAAGACACAGATAAACCTCCAAGTGCTTCAGTGACCCTATAAAAAGGGTGCAAATGGCCAGCTGTGTCTGCAAGGAATATAACTCCTTCCATTCTCCACTGTCCTGTCTGAGCTGAAGAAGCTTCTTGGATGAGAAGTGAAAGTCTTCAAAGAAAAACCCAGAAAGACCAGTTGCCTCATGAAAAAAAAAGCATCTTTGGGACAACCGTGATCTGGATGACTGAGAATCTCTACAGACAGGATAAAAAAATAACTAATACTACTGATAAAAAATGTTGTAAAACTAGGGAAGACTCATTTAACAACTGCCTCATTTGGCAATGGAAGTTCCAGTTTCAATTGTGGTCCTAAATCAAGAACTACCTGTAAACATAGCAGGCTCTCAATAAAAATGACCACCACTCAATTATTGTCAAATATATTTTCACACCCCAGACAGATACCCAAGCTATCTATTTTTAATATCTCCAGACTTTGCTCATGGAAGTACCTTTTCAAAATGTTGAGAATGCTTATGGGGAGATAGCAGAAGGCAAAAACCAAGAGCACAACCATCAGCATCCGGGCTGTTTTCCTCCTGGTTTTAATCTGCTTGATTTCAGCTGCCACCACACTAATCCTCAAGTGTGCTGGTGGTCCCAGTTCCCGCGTCTGTGCTGTGGATTGCAGCGGCCTCCATTTCCTCTGAACGATGGATGACGTTCCTGGAATCTGAGAGCACACAACAATCGGAATCTTAATGGTTGCCGTTTTTGACCCGAGGGAAATTTTCCACTGATTACTCACTCAGCAAACGTGGCAAAGTAGATCCATTTCCACTCATCAGCATGGCTACATGATCACAGAGAATGTGAACATCTTTAGGGTGATCATCTTCCTATGATGAAGATGGAAGGAATCCTTGGGGAAACAACACTGTTTAAGTCTAAACCCTTTTTGTTAGGGCCAGTCTGTTTCCACAATAGTTATAAAGTTTATTATAGGGTAAAATTTATTATAGGGTAAAGTTAGAAAGTGTATTATAGGATGCAAATACACATTAGAATTAGATACCACAAATTTGAGGATTTACCTCTGTGGGAAGAGCTATGGATTTAACATGCGATAATAGATTGCTCTTCTATAGAGGAAAGACAGAATAACCTCAGATTTAAAATCTTGGGTTGCTAAGATATGCTTGTTCTCTGTCTCAAAATTGGCTGAGGATAATTAGAATGGGAAAATTGATCATTATTATTCCACGTGCTCAAGGGCTAATAGGAGGAAACATTGGACCGAATCTTTCTTTCTTCTTTTTGTTGGTATTTTTATTTAGCTTTTTTCCCTTTGTTTTTTTTCTCTCTCTCCGTTGTGATATATCACATTTGTAAAACACTTGATGTACTGGATGAATGGGTCAAAAATCAAAGTAAAGAAGATAAGATTGGGGTTTTGAGGGGAGGGGAATATATATTCTAAACAAGCCAAAATCTCTCCACTCTATTCCGAAGACATACAGCATATGCTAAAAATGTGGAAATCGTTTTACATTTACACATGAGAAACAGAAGGTTGACAACCATAAGGATTACTTGTTAAATACAGTGGTATCTCAGTACTTCATGTTAATTGGTTCTAGGAGGGGTGATGAGTATCAAATAATTTTTTTTCTCATAAGGAATAACGTAGTGAGTCACAAGGCAGCCATCTAGCATGTGCATTGAGTACCAAGTAAACAATGGGTACTGGGACAAAATGTTTGCATCAAAATGCGTTGAATACCAAATCTGATGAGTTTCAAAGCAGTTGACTATCAAGGTACCACTGTAACTGATTTTCTTGATGAAAACACACAATGGTTGTTAATTTTTCTAACAGTTAAATACGATATATCTGCTATCTCAATGGCAGTGAGTTTATTAGAATAACTAATACCAGTAGTAAATATGTTTTTAGTTCTTTTAACATAATTGGGAGCCGCCCAGAGTTGGAAGATGGGCAGCTACATCAGTGTTTTAAACAAGCAAGCAAGCAAACAAATCGCAGCATGCTCATTTCAACGATTACATTCAAAAATCAAACATAATGTATTTTCCATGAATGAAAGTAGCAAGGACCCTTGTTTAATATTATATCAAAAAAAGTAAATGCATTTAATACAGTGGAAATTTGTTTAGGAAATATTCATCAGAACTTTATTTTAAATTATGCTTCAGTTTCTTCCCTTATCCCTTCATTCAGACATAATTTAAGAAATATGAAAATACAGGGGAAAAAATAAACATTCCTAGAAGGATGTATAACATCTCAGTATTTTAGTATTAACGTTAAATTGATAAACTCTTGGTTAGCGGCATGGAATTATTTTTGCTAGATTGCTGATGGTGCAAATATTGTATTGCAGAGGATTATTTCTTTCAATGTATATCACTCTACCTGTCAATCAATTGCACAATTCCTTTGAGGTTAAAAGGCTTAGCTGGCATAGGTCTGAAAGACGGATTTCGTAGCAAAAGGACCCACCTGCTGACACCACAGCTTTTGAAATATCTGTAAGTAGGCCAGCACCATAAGACACAATGGAGCCAGATAGGTTATCAGGAAGAAACAGGTGTGATACATTTTGGGGAAAAATTCCGCTGCAAAGGAAATAAAACAGCACATAAATAATATCTCATTTGATCTGCTATTATATGCTGCGATGCACTGATGATGTTACCTAGTTAGGGGAATGAAACGTCTGCAAGAAAACAACCAAGCTCAGAGAGCGCCAAGGACCTCTCATGTCAACCCTGAGCTATAAACATTCTCCTTTATTGGTATCCTGTAAAAGCTGGTTCAGGCGAACATAAATGGGACTTAATTTTATACAAAAGGGAAGAGCAAACCTGGTTTATTGTTCAAGTAAAATATTTATAAAGTATTTTAAAAAAAAAACCCTTATATTCTCCTGGACACTGAAGAGCTGAATTGAGTATGACCACTGTCTTATGATATATTGTAATGTTTTAATTGATGTGTTTTATATTATTGTGTTAGTATGTGGCAATGTTAAATTCCGCATACCTCCTAAAGAGAAGGAGAGGCATTTTATAATTATTTTAAATAAGCACTGATGATGAAGTTCTTATTAGGGACCTATAATTGGCCAGGAAAAAGAAGCTCAGTACGTACTTTTCGCATGCCAAAACTACTTCTGGCATTTCCGGAAGGTCGCAGGAAATGTTGGATGAGTCTTTGAAATGAAGCAGTGCTGCTGCTTTGCTGTTAGAACCTTTATTAACGTTTTCTATGTGCAACTTCAGTGACTTAAACAAGGTCCTGGAGGGAAGGAAATCTTGGAAGTGCTTTAGAAATGAAGCCCTGGTCTTAGTTGGTGTTTCCAGATTTTGCAACAATGATGGTTAGGAGAGAGAAGGAAGGAAGGAAGGAAGGAAGGGATGAAGGAAGGGAGAGAGGGAGGGAGGACGGATTCTTCCTTTCATTGTTAGCTGTGGTGGGATTCATTTCTTTTTACTACTGGTTCTGTGGGCGTGGCTTGGTGGGCGTGTTTTGGTGGGTGTAGCAGAGGAAGGTTACTGCAAAATCCCCATTCCCTCCCTACTCCAGGGGGAAGGTTACTGCAAATTCTGATTCCCTTCCCACCCACTAACCTGCTTTCCAGGTCTGTTCTCCTGTGCAGGGCAACAAAAGAAGACCGAGCTGATCATCTGGGACTCAGGAGGCAGAGAATAGATGGGGGCAGGGCCAGTCAGAGGTGGTATTTGCTGGTTCTCTGAACTACTCAAAATTTCTGCTACGGGTTCTTCAGAACTGGTCAGAACCTGCTGAATACTACCTCTGATTGTTAGTCTATACTCCAGTAATTCAGTCTGGAGGACATACAGAAGGACCAATCTTGATTTTGACCTAAAGTGGCAGACAATTTTCTAAGGCAAAGGGGCACAATTATTTTTGTTAAGCTATAGAATGAGTGGAACTAAATCAAACGATTGACAGGATTGGGTTTGGTAAGGAAGTTGAGAGACTCTGAATGCTTAAAGTGAATTATTTCACGTGACAATGTTCAACCATTGGCCAAGACAAAAGGTCAGAAATGGCTCTGAGTCTTCAGCAATAGGTGCAGGGAGACCTGGAGGCCCTTATAAAAAGGTGACTTGGGACCCCAAATTAATCATCCTGATTTCTGAGCTTCAGGCAATCTGTTAGCTACTCAGGTCCATGGCCTCTTCTAAGGCAAAGCGCTAAAGTACAGACCAGGTGATCAACAGTTCTTCTCTTGAATGGCAGGACATGACTGAATTACCATAGTGACATGGCTGATATATCGTAACTAATACTTTAGAGATTAAAGTCAAAGAAAGGCGCCCCTTAGCACTGAAAGTTATATACAAAAAAACTCTGCCAACCAATAAAGTCTAATTAATCTCCTGTAACAGACTTGATAACAACGAGCTATCTTTTTCCCCCTCCTGACACAGTGAGCCATGCGCATCCCAAGCTCGAGGCCACCAGCACTCACCTCCCCAACGCTCATCGCAGACGGTGAACAAGATGGTCTTGTTAGCTAACCCAGGAAACATGCTGCTGCACTCCATAACAATTGCCTGGGGGATCATGATAAGGCAGGAGACCATCCAGATAACAAGAATGCTGTTCCTGGCCCGCTTGGCTGTGCTTTTGAACATCAGCGGGTGACAAATTGCATACCATCGATCCAGGGCGATGCAGCTAAGGGTCAGTACAGAAACAGAGACTGACACGGTCTACAGAGAGAAACGCCAGAAAACAGCATACAGTAAGTGACAAAAGAAGCATCATCAGAGAAACAGTCTCTCCCACCATGGTTACAATCAGAAAAGCTTAGTTGCCAGTAGCAATAGCACTTAGACTCATGTACTGCTTCACAGTGCTTTACAGCCCTCTCTAAGCGGTTTTACAGAGTCAGCCTATTGCCCCCAACAATTTGGGTCCTCATTTTATCCACCTCGGAAGGATGGAAGGCTGAGTCAACCTTGAGCCTGGTGGGATTTGAGCTGCCAAATTGCAGACAGCCAGTAGGCAGCAGAAGTGGCCTGCAGTACTGCACTCTAACCACTGCGCCACTCAGCAACCTCTTTAACCCTCATCATATTTCTAGGAAAGCCGGATTTAGTTGAGCTATATTATGGCTTTGCACTGGTAATAAGGGCTGACAAGATCTAACTTCCTTTTTTTTTTGCAGACCAAAAAAAACAACAACAAAAAACATGTTCTGATACATCATGAGAAAGTTAGGCTAAAATTTATCTCCTTGATAAGCAGGTAGTTTTTCACAGCACAAAAGAAAACTAGGTGAGTAACAATCCATATGTGTGCTTCCAATATGTTGGGTGCAGGGAGGAAGGTGGAGTTTGATTTTAACTTGTTACTGGGGGAGGAGGGGCGGGGTGTTCTGCTACAAAGCATTACCAAAACCTTGTTTGCAGGGCATATTAGGAGACGTGTTAGCAGGCAGCTTTTGTTTCTTGTGAGTTGGGAATGTAGGCATGAGATTTTGGCCTCCAGGGTTGGCACTCCTGTTGACATCGCAGAAGACTTCATATTGGGCTCCTGTGCTGTTGCAGGAGTGTCCATGGGACTGAAGAATCTCAACTGTAAGGTCTCTTTTGTATGGAGAACCTCACTCATTCATTCTCATCCATATAGCAAGTATTACATAATAGGAACTTCCATGCTTTCATGTGAAAACCAAATTATCAGGAACTGACTACAAAGATTCATGAACACAGAGAGTCTTCGACTTATAAACACAACTGAGCCCTGAATTTCTGTTGCTAAGTGAGAAATGTGTTAAGTGAGTCTTGCCCCATTTTACGACCCTTTTTTGCCACATCACTGCAGTTGTTAAGTGAGTAACACAGTTGTTAAGTGAATCTGATTTCCCCATTGACTTTGCTGATCGGAAAGTCGCAAAATGGTGATCACGTGACTCTGGGACATTGCAACCATCATAAATATATGAGCCAGTTGCCAAACACCTGAATTTTGATCATGTGTTCAAGGGGATGCGGCAAAGGCCGTAACTGTGAAAATGATCGTAAGTCACTTTTTTTAGCGCTGTCGTAACTTTGGTCACTAAACGAACTGTTGCAAGTTGAGGACTCCCTGTATTGGAGTGCATTCCACTTCAGATATCATCTGAATGTGCTATCCAAAACCTTTTTAGTTTTATCTGTAGAGTCCATGGGATCACTCATCCATGCCACTGTTTTGCCCACTTCTTTTCATAAAATTATTCTATAGATACCTGGAACTTGGCAATGTCCAGGCTTTCGCACGCATGCAATGTCTTGACTATAGGAAGCTATCATTATAATTGTTGGTATGTTTAGCTTCTTTCCAAGTATTCTACCAGATTGCTTCAGAGTGAAATTTATTTCCTGCTTTGCTTATTCTATGTACAGTTTTATGCTTTGGTTTCTACTTTACTCAGATGTTATAGCAAATGTACAATTACAAATGGCATACATCTGACCGTGAGATAATTAAGCCTCTCTGAGTCTAATTTTCGGAATGATCCTTTTTTGTTTGCTATGAAGCAATGTGTTAATCCCAAACTAGCTTCTGAGTTATAGGTTCAGTAGCATTGAAACCCCAACTTAGCTTGTTTTCAATGTGTACCACAACCCTGGCAAACAATACCTGCAAATAAGGGATCACCTTACAGAGGCTGTTTCCAAGGAACCACGTCTCGGTGATATCCACCACTAATGTTGCAGGAAGGCAAGTGAGGGTGACCAGGACATCGGCCAAGGAGAGGTTGACAATGAAGTAATTGGTCACAGTCCTCATGTGATGATTTTTCCACACTGCAACACAAACTGATTTTGCAAAGATGTCAGCCCAGGGTGGAAAAGGCATTGGGAGACAAACAGCCAGACCAAAATAGTGACGGAGGATTGGTGAGGAATACACATCAGTTTCAGCAAAGGTTGTGTCGTTTGTCACTGTCCTCAAATATTGACTGACTAAGCTATTTCTTCCGCCTACTTGGAAACTCGATTGATTAACCTCTCCTATATAGTGCAGGGCAAACCAATTATAGGAGCAAAATTGTGTAATAGCCAAGGATGCCTCAAAGATTGATGGGAGGGGAGGAAAGAGGAGAAGAGAGAGAGAAAGAGAAAGGGAGGGGGAGGGAGGGAGGGAGGGAGGGAGGGAGAGAGAGAGAGAGCGCACTCTCCATATTGGGAAAATTTATATTGGCACAGTTGCATTTTGCCAGTTCAGTGGAATCCCTACAATTTATAGTGAACGGAGCTGAAGACCTGCCCTTGTCTACTAGTGGTTAATGCAGTACTGAGACTGAGAATTAAAATTAGGAAAAAAAGAAAGAACTGTGAAAAACTTGAGCTCCCTGGTGGGTTAATCTGTTTATTTCCTAATTTGGATCTCTAGCCCACGTTTCCTTCAGAAGCTCATGGTGTTGTACAAAGCATCCCTCCTTCCATTTTCTCTGCCTCCATAATACTGGGCCATACATGAGGGGAAAGAAGAGAGTGGCCCACAATCACCTAGAGAGATTCTGTGAATAAAGCTGGTTGCAACATAGGTTTCCCCAATCCCAACTGAACTCTTTTACTCACGCACCAAACTACTTTTCCCTTCAACTACACTTCAGTGCCACCTTCTCTATGTATATTTGAAGAACTTCACCTCAGGAGTTTTCCTGGGAGAGAGTCAACAGTTATCATAAAGAGTAAAATAATATAAAAACTACATGAAAACCCCAAATCAGCATGAGAGGGAGAGAAAGACCAGGAACCATAATAACCATGACAATAAATATAAACCACAGTAGAATCACAATAATAAAGGAAAGCAGCAAAGAGTGACACTATAACAACTCTGACCTGGGAAAAGGAAAAGGCCTTCTAAGTAGGGGCCACACTGTAGGGGTCAACTCTTCCCTTGGGAAGGGTGATTCATTCATTCATTCATTCATTCATTCATTCATTCATTCAATTTGTTTGCCACTTATCTCATCACAAGGCAATTTCTTTGTTCTAAGCCAGGGGTGTCAAACTCAATTTCATTGAGGGCCGCATCAGGGTTATGTTTGACCTTGGGGGGTCTGGGGTGGGTGTGGCTAGGGTGGGCATGGCCAGCTTGACATCACTCGTGTTGAGGGAACCTGTGGTAGCCTGAGCACTCTGCCAATGAAAACAGGCTCCCAAGCTCCATTTTTGGCTGTGACGGCCTCCAGCAACCCTCTGTCAGTGAAAATAGAGCTCAGGATGGCCACCTGGGGCCCCCCGAGCTCTGTTTTCACTGGCAGAGGCATTGCAGGCTGGACCTTCACTATTCCCAGGGCAGCCCCATGGGCCAGATCTAAGCACCCCATGGGCCAGATCTGCCCCCTCGGGCCTTGAGTTTGATACTCCTGCTCTAAGCTCTTCCAATGTGCTACTATGAGAGATTTCATGTGCCATGTACTTCTCAGCATATCCTCATCAAACCCTCAATTCAACATCCTGGTACAGATAGCCCTCGACTTACAACTGTTCATTTAGTGACCATTCAAAGTTATGACGGCACTGAAAAACAGTGACTTACAACCATTTTTCACAGTTATAAACTTTGCAGCCTCCCCATAATCATGTAATCAAAATTCAGATGCTTGGCAAGTGGTTCATAGTAATGACTGTCGCTATGTCCTGGGGTCATGTGATCTTCTTTTGTGACCTTCTGATAAGCGAAGTCAACGGGGAAAACTGGATTCACTTAATAGCTGGTTACTAACTTATCAATTGCAGTGATTCACTTAACAACGGTGGCAAGAAAGTTCATGAAATGGGGCAAAACTCATTCAACAAATGTCTTGCTTAATGTATATTTTGAGCTCCATTATGTTTGTAAGTCGAGGACTACCTGTATTCATATTGAACATGCCTGTCCGAAGTTTGTTTTAAAAATGGAAGAATAGACCTATCTGTCAATGTTTTCAAGTTTGGAAGTAATGCTGTGCTTTATCCTTGAAGTAGTTATTTGGTAGCAGCTGCCTTGATGCCTGTTCTGACATAAACCTGGTTCCAAGACAGTAAACATAAGACAAAGGTACCAGCACAACCTTTTACTGTTTCATTTACGAATCCTGTTTCTTCACAGATAAAAGGCTGCTTCCAACTAATTAGCTCTGACAAGAAAGAGCCTTGCCAAGTTGTTGCAACCCTGCCAAGAACAGCAAATAAATTTTCTAAATAATAAATCAAAGACCCTCCAAACACCAACTCAGATATTCTAATGTCTACAGGCTCGAGTATCAAACAGCTTTATTCCCAAGTCACCCACGCTGCTGCCGCTGCTCTTTCCTTTGAGAAGCCCTGTGTGCACGTGCACTGGGCACAGGCTCCTCAGGGGCCTCTTCATCACTGCTACCAGCCTCCACAATCTCCAAAGGCAGCATTCCACTCCCTGATGGTCCTGGCCCCATCCCTGCATCACACACAGGCCCCTTATCTGAGTCCTCGCTCTCTGAGACCTCAGCTGTCCGCACCTGCTGCCGGTGAACCACAACAATGCCCAACCTTACAATGGAATCAATCCCATTGTACTCAATTGAATTTACTTCTGAGACAATCATCAATAAATATTGCAGGTCAAAATTGACCACAACACTTATTTTTCAACCTACTTAGGATAGTCTCAAAGATGCTTTTTCAACAGGCCAACTGGACTGCTTTTTCCTTAGGGTAGAAAAAGAAGACATTTTGCTTCTCATCCAGGAAGCTTCATCAGTTATGATGGGGAGGGGGAAACAAATCAAGGGGAAAAAACAGTCCTGTTGAGGTATTCCCCGTTAGGAGGATGAGTGTACTCAAGAAAACATAGTGAGAGTGGTGATGAATAACACATGACCAGCACTCAGATACACTGAATAGTAAAATGTAAGTTTTACTTCCAGTAAATGGGTAAACAAAGTCCAACAAACAGTCCAAATCATACATGGTTAAAGCAGTTAGTATTCAAAACAATCAGTCCAGGGATAATCCAAAAATGAAGTCCTTTTCTTTACCAGTATCATAAACAAAGTTCAGTAAACGGAGTTTGCGAACAGTTGCAAGACTCACAGCAATTCAAGCAGAATGACGTTCAGGCAAAAGGCAACAAGGAAAATGCAAAAAGAACAAACCAGGTTTCCGGCTCCATCTTATGGCCGTTGGAGAAATCTCAGCCAATCACGATTACAGCATTCTCTTAAAGATACAACAGTATTAAATGACTATCCTGGTTTATATATTGCCAACCCAACTGTTAGGTGACTATCATTCCTAACAAGTCCAGTTGAAACAACTGGGACTTGAATGACTGAGAATCTCTATAGACATCTACATAGTATAGACAACCAGTTTGGTATAGTAATTAAGGTGCCAGGTGAGAAACCAGGAGACTGAGAGTTCTAGTTCCACCTTAGCCATGAAACTTAGGGCCGGTCACTCTTTCTCAGCCAATCCCACCTCACAGGGTTGTTCTAAGGAAAACAGGAAGAGGAAGGAGTGTTTGTTGCCTTGAGTGATCTATAAAGTAATAATGATGGAATAAAAACTTAATAATATTATGATTCCACTAACTGTCTAGTTATTACCATTTCAAGAGTGTCCCCAGGCATTTGTTGGACGATCTGCTATGAAAACATGCTTTATGCCCCATTTTGTATTCTGCTTTTTGCAAACAAAGAAACAACAACTGCAATAGAATTTCCCAGAGGAACTTTGGAATCTCTTGTTGGTGTAATAAATCAGAATAAATCTAAACCACACAGAATAAATCCAATGTATCAATCCAATGAAAAAACAGAATCTTTACCATTGTTTTTCCCTGTTCACACAGAAATGTGTGAAATGAGTGCAGTGAATTCCTTCTGCCAGTGTGTGTCAGTCAGTACTTGGCAATTGAATTAGATCTCCAGTGTATATAGAATAGATTTCCTATAGAGAAAAATGAGTTTTCAAGCATAGAACACTTCTGGTTTTCTCAGACGTCTTGCCCCATTTGCAGAGACACGTAAAGTGGTATAACCTAACTTCAAGGGTGGCCCACATCAGTGGCTGGATTCAACTGTTTTTACTACCGATTCTGTGGGTGTGGCTTGGTGGGCGTGGCAGGGGAAAGATACTGTAAAATCTCCAGTCAGAAATTTGCCGGTTCTCTGAACTGCTCAAAATTTCTGCTACTGGTTCTCCAGAACTGGTCAGAACCTGCTGAATACCTCCTCTGGCCCACATCTTCAAATAGAGAAAAATGTCCCAAGTATGTGGCCTGTGAGCATTGCTATTTGGATACCAGAAAGCTAACACAGTACATGTGGCAGTATGAGTTTACTGCATGTGTAAAAGATGCTTTCTCCCTATTGTTTCTCTTCTTCCTCATGCATAAGTGATTTGTTGGTTTGTTTCTCCACTACTGTTAGGAGATCTGAATGGCCAGACTGAGGATAGATCAGCCACACACACCCACAAGGTCTCTTTAGGTGGCTGCTAAGTGTCAGCACTGATTTAATAACACATAAGCAAGCAAGCCAATAAGCAAGCAATAGGAGGCAATAAACTTGTAGCAAACACTGAGCATTAAAACACTTTAAACTTCTGAGTGTTGCACTGAAGTCTTATGTGAATCTCATCATTGCACAGGTCATGACCTTATGGAGTTGTACTTTCACTTTAAGAGAAAATGAAAAATATAGCATTTTGTCTTAGGTGAAGTAACCAGGAAGAAAAACTTGACAGATTTTGAAAAACAAGACTGCTGTTCATGTTTAGAGTTCAGTCAGACCAAATCCCGTCTTGGAATTAGGTGTCTGTTATAGCAATAACATTAGATT